ACAAGTAAACATCATTCTGATAGTCTGTTCTTCCAGCCTAGATCCACCTGACCTGCCATGCTATCCCTGGTGCCACATGCTGCCGTAACAGAATGACCACAAGGGGCCAATTTTAACAAACAAATTCATTTTCTCATCATTTAGGAGTTGAAATGTCTGAATTCAACATGTAGGCTCAAGGGAAAGGCTATTTTCTCTGTGTTACCTCTGGAGGAAGATTCTTGTCTTCTGTATTTTGCTTCCCGCTTCTCCTCCAAGCATTTTGGTTTCTTTGACGCTTTTTCTATCTCTGCTGGCTTGTTTAATCTCACTTTTATGCCTACGTCCTAAAAAGTTTAACTTCAGATACATCTTACACTACTCCTGCTGTATTTGAAGGCAATCTTTTCTCCAGTGGGATTATACTCATAGGCATAGATGTTAGAAAGTGTAACATATGTCTTGTGTGCATGTAATTCAGTCCTTAACATTCCACTCTTTGATTCCCAAAGATGCATGTCTTTGCCACCATGCAAAACAATCCCCCTCCCCCATTGTACCACACAGTAAGACTTAAAGCAACTCCAACCCAGATCCTGCGATCAGAGACGAGGCCTCTGCTCTCCACATTCTGGACATTGGCCCGGTTCTCTGGATGCTTCATGGAACACCTCATCCTTGAGATTCAGTTACACCTCCAGGGCCCTCTAGTCTGGCAGTGGTGCTTCATCGACGCAGCAACATGCCTTGGGCATGGCACCCCAAGCCCTGTTGGCGCAGCAGCTGCACCTCCCTTGCACACCTTCGCAGCAGCCCCACACTCTGAAACGGGGTTGGCGAGGACTGCACTTTCGGAGCATTGCAGGCTGTGGACCCAAGCAGGCTGTGGAGATGCAGGATCCCGGGGCACTGCGAGAAACCGAGAAGGCCCGACTTCCCGTTGTTCTGTGCTCCCGAGCTGTCCTTTCCTTTTCTGGGAGGGCGAATGATGGAGCTCCTTTGGCCTGTGGTGGTTGTTGTTGTTGTGGTGGTGGTGGTGGTGGTGTGTGTGTGTGTGTGTAGAATTCCTACAGGCAGGCAGCCCTCTTTTACTTCAGTCGTCTTCAATCACAGTCAGTCTAAGCGGGTGAGTTCTGCTTTGTGTTGTGGCTGTCGGTTCGACCCACCAGTCATAGGCATCGATTCCTTAACAACATTTGTGTGCCCATCTCCTACGTGAAAATTCTAGGACCTGTGTCCTTAGTTTGTGAAAGTGAATTTCCCACATCTTTAAGTTTAGTTATTTTATTTTTATTTTTTTACACAGTTCATTTTAAAGTTTACTTCCTCTCACAGATCCCTAAAATATCAAGGAGAAACTATGCACTCCCTTTGAGACCATGCTTAGAAATCTTATCAGTCACGTGTCCCTGCTCATCATTTACAACTTTTCTATTCCCCCAAAAGTTAAACCTCATTTAAACAGGTTATTTGCCACTGCCTAAAAATCATTGGCTTCCCACCAGTGTAGCATCACCCTTTTATCAGCGTTGCAAACCCTCACTGGAAGGGCATTTAAACTGGTATGTCTAGCAGCATTCTGTTGCGAGTGTCACACAGATTAGCTGGAATGATGCAGACTTTCTCCATAGCTCTCTTCACTTCTTTCTGAGCCGCTTCTCAGAATTGCCTTTGATGTCTATAATTCAGCCAACAGTCTCATCAAGGAACTCTAGGCTTGATTACGAACCTGCTACCATTGAGTCTGTTCCAGCTGATAGTGACCCACTGCAGAGTTTCTGAAGCGGCAAATCTTTACAGAAGCAGAAAGCTTCATCTTTCTCCCACATTGTAGCTGTTGGGTTCAAATTTCTGAATTTGCAGTTAATAGCCCAATACACAATTCCAAAACAGCTTCCAAAATTTAGGTATCTTTGAGAATAACACTCCATTATTCTAGTACCAAGATGAGTGGCAGAGGAGGAGGTAAAGCAATGAAGAAATGGAGGAGAGAGATGACAAGCCCTTTGAAGCTCACATAGGAGCAGAAGCTCAAACAGATAAGCATTATCCTCTAGAAATAACAGAAGGAGAAAGCCTTTCCTTAGAGCTGTGAACTCAATTCAACTCCTAACCTCCTAAGCAGGGGGCTTTGCGGTGTAATGATGGGCTGTCCATGGCAAGGTCGGTGATTAGAAATGCCCAGTCACTCCTCCAGAGAAAGAAGAGGCTTTCTACTCCCCTAAAGAAGGTAGTCTCACAAAACCCCAGGGGCAGTTAAACCCTGTCCTGTAGGGTCACTGTGAGCTAGAATTGATTCAATGGCAGTGAGAAAGAGAGAGAGGGAAATGTGAGAAAATAAATTTGTTTACTGAAACTATCTACTTGTGATATGTCTCATAGCAGTAATAGATAACTAGGAAATCCACCTTTCTATTAAAATATTAAGCATCACACTTATAGCTGTATGTTATAATTTACTCTTCTTCATATAGTTTCAGATCAGAAAAAATAAGACATTGCACATTTTATCTTTAAAGATTTTTTTTCTATTGAGATGGCCATATCTGGTGGAACCCATTTTAGAAATCTTAGAAATATCTTGTATTCCAAGTAAAATAAAGTGAAGCTCTATGAATATTTATACCTTCCTTTCCATTACTTTAGGAGCCCTGGGGGCATAGTGGGCTATGAATTGAGCTACTAACTACAAGGTCAGTGGTTTGAAGTCACCAGTGGCTCAGTGGGAGAAAGAATAGCTGTCTACTCCTGCAAAGATTTAGAGTCTTGGAAACCTCGAGGGTCGTTTCTACCCTGTCTTGCAGGGTTACTATGGGTCACAGATGAGATTTTTTTGGTTTGGGGGTTTGTTTTTGGTTTTTTTGCTTTTCAATTACTTTAATGAGGAGGCGATTGCAGGTGATGATAATCAAATGGTTAGACTCCTCTGATGACTAAATTTTTACACAGAATTAGGTTTAAAGAAACTGTAAAGAAGGTTATGTTTAAATACACCTTCGTAACTTTTGTATGTACCTGCTGTTACTTTTGGAAATCAGTGTTTTAGTTTTAATTTTTAAAAAGTCATGGACTTCATTACTTGCCTTTTGGGGAATTTTTCAGAATAGCCTTAAAATCATGTATTAATGTTCATCCATGGGAGCAGTGTTCTCCAAAGGTGCAAACTAGTTCCACACTTTAACCCTCACATGCTCCTGATCTCTCTTCATCAAGTGATTCATTTAGCACATGCAGGAGAGTTTGCCCGAGTTGAGCCACTTTATATGCAACAGAGATACTCACGGGAGGAGGATTTCACAATACAGTGCTCACCATCCTGAGTAAACCGAGCCATTTTAATCCTAGGTGATTTCACATCTGTCATAAATGCATGTGGCTTAAGAGGGAAAGAGAGAGAGATCTAAAGGGGGAAAAAAATCACCTGTCCTCATTGTTGCGTTTTCATATTGTGTAGTTTTACCATATTCATAATAATGAACTATCTTATTTAGGCCAAAGTAACTGCTATTTGCCAAAAGCAGTGAACACTTTTGCTTCCTAATTTAAAACACACACACATACACAGTTCAATGATTGGTGTGGTGTTTATTATGAAATGATGACAAAAGAGTACTGGTGGTTTTAATAGTTTTAGCTTATGAGAGCCATCGTTAATTTTGTCTGTAGTGTTGCAGGTGAAAAAAATGCACAATAGATAAATAGTCTATATTGGTTTAACTGAACATAATATATAGTGTGTTCTGGAGTTGTTTGTCTCAATAGACTATAGTAATCAAAAGTAATGAACCTATTATGTGCAGGACCTTGGAGAGCATCGAATGGCAGTAAAAGTGTGGCACATAAAAGGTTTATTAAAGGAAATTAAAGTCCATCATTGCCACACCTGCTCCCCTATTATAAGACTATGGCAGGTCAGTGCCTTCAATCACAACTCAGTCTCTGAGAGCAGAGGCGCATTTCCCATTACCATTGCAGTCACACCATAGCCACACTAGTGAGTGGCGGGTTTTAAGGGCAGGAACCACAAAGAGAGCCTTATGCCTGCCTCTGGTTCTCAGAAGGTGAAATAACATTCCCTTTTAAGAATTCCCTCTGATAACGTGTGGCTTTGAATGAAACAAATAACTTATAGAGGATTCGAGTGCAATGGTGTAGTCAGTTCTGAGTCTACCTTTCGGTGAAAACAATAGACTTCTACAATGTTCACATCCCATTGATAATTTATATGCATACTTTTGAAATATTGAGTGATGATGTTTTAATACCAACGAATGGAGTTTGAATACTGCAGGTTTTGAAACGGAGACACACATCACTCAGTCTCACCGCCTGGCTACATGGGGATGGTGATACCCATGCGATTGTCTCAACTCAATAGGTTGCCCAGTAAAACGGACACCCCTCAGGGCGGGCTGCTTTTTGGCTGTATCCTTACAGAAGCAAATCACCCCATTTTCATTCCACAGCACCCCTGGAAAGGTGGATGATTATAACCAATATTCATTCTGAAATTCTAGAAGTTGATGTATGTTATTTGTTTATGACCAAAACTTCCAATGGGGTGTTTCCCTCCCGGGGCATTCCAGAAAGCTGCCTTCACATGGCTTTCACCTACAGAAATGATCTAGAAATGTGAAGGAATTAGGTTTTAGTAAATCACATGGAAATATTTGGACTTGGCATGTGAGGTTTTTGTCTCCTTTAAAACCACTGTTAACTAGACAATCTTTTTTGGCTCTTTGTCACACCGGGAATATTTTGATCACCAACAAACACATGTGGACAAGGTCATCTCCCCCTTTGTACTGATTCCTTTTGGCTTCCAGCATCTCCAAACATATCTCCAGAACGAGTGGTATGTAAGGGCGGGGCAGCTATCTCCCGGTGGACCTAGCAGACATTGCAGGAGAATGGAAGGCTACCATGCTTTTCAACATGACCTGTGGAAGCAAAAATGACAAGTTTTTCGATTTTGGTCAATATTGAAGGAATAACCTCAAGACTTTGTGTCAATGTTCCAGATGGATGCAGAGGCTGAAGACCAAACGCTGCTCACCTGTGTTAAAGGAACCAAGGGTGAGTTATCAAGCAGGCTGCATGTCACCGTGCACACCGTGCAAGGACTTTTGCATTTCCTAATGCTTAACCTCTGATATGCAGTCAGAAAGTTTAGAACGTCCACAGAACTTCCTCTTTCACATCAAGGCCGAACACAGACTATTGGTATTGAGTGGCAAATTTTTGTGAACCACAAATTAAGGACTCAGAAAAGTCCAAAGTCATGTATAAGTATGATGCTAATTGTTCCAAGATGGAATTAATTACAGTAGATTTGAACGTCAGGCAGCACCGGCTAAGGTTCACCAAGCAAGAGAATGTTTCACAGAGACCTTCAAAATATTGGAATGACCTTTAATGGTCAAATAAAAAGAAAGTTGTTAGTTTATTGCCAAAGCGGGCTTTAAGTTTTATGTTACCTGGCTTAGTGGTTCCCAGGCTAAATTCAGTTCAAGTAAAACGATTGTTTGTTTTTTTTTACTTTCCCTGCTGGGAATTTTCAGCAGCACTGCAAAGTAACGTTCGAAAGGTTTAACTTGCCGATTACTCCTCTCTTTTTGTAACCAGCAGATGGTAATGTAATATTGAAATATAAACAGGCCCTTGATGGTCTGAACATCTGGAAAACAGGATTGACTGGCAATAATGCCCCTTAAGGAAAATAACTTTTATTATAATTAACTATATTTTTGTGACCCTTAGTTCTAAGTGGAAAACCAAAGGTTCATTGTGGCCTCTGAAAACACTTTGGGCAACTAGCTGGTCCCCACTGTACCCACCCTTCACAGAGGGGGCTTGCTGGGCAAAGGCTGTGCCAGGGCATGGACACCCATTGGGACAGCTCTGAGAGGTGCCCTTGAAAGGACTACTTTAATGGAACATGATCTTGAGTGCTTCATGTCACCAGTTCAGGTGGATCATCGCTGTTTGCGAAAGTCCAGGACATTATTATTTTTAATAAATACAAGGGTGCATTTTTTAAGGGAAAGACTTTCTCTAGCCATGCTCATCAAAATGTAGGATGATGCTGTACAAGAAATGGATACTTTTACTACTCAAACTGTTATTTTACCTCATATTCTTCTCCAATGTTAGTTTTAAGTTACCTGTGAAGAACCTGAACCAGATGCCCTACAATTTATATTGCAATATTTCTGGACGTTAAACTTTTAAGCAGCAAAGTTCTTAATAGAACACATTAAAAACAGGCTGTCATTATTTAGAATCGGCTCACACCTGTGATAAGTATTGGCATATTCGTATTTGGATTGCTTGAATTTCTTGTTTGATTTCTTAAAACAAGTTATTTTATCATACTTTAAAAATTTGGGTCTTCTAGTCTGAAATTCCTTTTGGACTTGAAATTCTTTTGGCACATGCACATAAACTCTTAAATAGAGCCAAGCTGTTCTCAGAAAGGAAACAACGGATGTTTCTTGTGTAACACAAGGAATCTTTACAGTCACCTGGTGTCCCTCTCAATATGCCTTTTATAAACATTAGCTGCTTCGGTTCCCCCAACTTCCATCAGAAAAAGCATAGCACTTCTTTCTACCTGTTCCTTATTTTACCAAATTTGCTGCTTTTAATACAGCTACAACATCTCCTCTTCTTTCAATACAAGTGGAGTTTATGGGATAAAGTCTTAGGAGATATTCATATCATGAAGTTTTGCCTGTTATCTAGAGTGCTTGTTATTGTCAATAAAAATGTGACCCTACAGGTCTTTTGCATAATTTCCTATAGAAAGTAAATTGATATAAAAATAATTCATTCCCTCATGGTCTTGTAATTTTTTTTATGGCTCCCTAAAGACAGGTCCCATTGAACAGTAAGTCCAGTCCATGGTCACCAAGTCTCAGGGTCACCTATGGAGCTCATTACAAAGTCAGTCTACTCCACAGGTCTTACTAATCTATCCTCTGTTCCCCAAGCCCAATCAGAAAATATCAGTCCATCCCATGGGAAAACAATTGAACTCTATACTAACCATGTATTTATCATTATCTTTAGCTGGATGACCCATGTCAGGCATACTGTTTTGAAAAAAATTTTTTTTAGTCATTTTATTAGGGGCTCATACAACTGTTATCACAATCCATACATATATCAATTGTGTAAAGCACATTTGTACATTCATTGCCCTCATCATTCTCAAAACATTTGCCCTCCACCTAAGCCCCTGGCATCAGCTCCTCATTTTTCCCCTCCCTCCCTGTGTTTTGAAAATTATAGACTGGATTCTCTCATTTCTTTCTTTATCTTTTTCTTTTCTTTTTAAACAGTGCCAATGGAATCCTTTATCCAGGAGCTAAGGTAAGACTTGCCAATCGTTATCACTGTTTTCTATCGAATCATTAGAATGCGCTGTGTGTTTCACTTCTCACTCTCTTTTTATTGGTATAAGGAAGCTCCAAATTGGCTAGACTTTGAACACAAATGGAACAGAGAAGAGGAACAACTGCTCTATTCTGATAATGAAACAAAGCAATATTTTGCTGAAGATGTGAGAAATTTGTCACTTTTCCTCTGAGCTGTGTGCTGACATCTGTCTGTCCACCCCTCACAAGGAGTGTGCTCCTTTCTTCATGGCCACTGAGACCTAAGCCATCACCCAGGAGTCTGAGTCTGATAAACAGATAAGCAGAGTCACAAGTGCTCTGTTTGTTTTGTTTTTCACTTTAGATACCCAGAGAACCCCATCAGGTGGCCACGTTTTTTCAGAGTAAACCTCTGAAGATAAGTGACAGGTTGTGGGACAGTTCCATGCATTTCCACTTTAGAGACCATGAGTACAGCTTCCCAGGATTCTGAAAATGTCACCTTACTAGGTGAAGCAAAGTAAACTCCAATTTGACTTTCTTTCACAGAATTTATGTTGTAGTAAAAAAATTGTGCACTTTCCAAAAACTGGGCATGTTTTCTAGAGAAATTGTATCAGGAGCAAACTGACCTGTCTTCTCTTTGGGTTTGCTCTTGCCTTGAAATGTCCCAGAAAGTCCCCCCCATCCATATGTGCATTCTGAAGACAGCCACATTAGGAGATGCTGTCTTTGAGAAATGCGTAAGAGTATCCCACTGGACATGGAAAGTTAGAGTATATGCAGCAATACTCTACACCGTTATTTTTCCAGGCAACAGTGCTTGGTGATTCCTGAAAACATCACTATCCTAGTTACTGCCTCGGTTCACGTTAGTCTGTCTGCCACAGCATGGGTGGACCTACTTAGGGCAACGTCTTGCTATTAGAATTGAGGACAGGTGTGCATGCTACTCCTCTTATCTTTGGCAGTGGTGAGCAGAGAACCCACAGCCGTCTGTGTGGCCGGTTCTGTCATTAAGATTTTTAAATTCGAAACTCCTTTTACAAGGTATATAGTGTATGCTCCCCGCAGACATGATTAAACCATTGAGCTGCCTGACTCATTTGAACTTTTGTTTTGAAAGTTTTGAGGGCTTTATGGATAGCTTTTACTGGGGACTGATCAAGAGCCGTTTAAAGAAATCAAGTTGTCAACCTGTGTGGTGTGGTGTCTCAAACTGTGCTGCAAGCTGATGTCATTCTTAGGGTCTGTTTCCTAAAGGCACAGACCAACCCAAACCACACTCACGATCGAGTTGATGCCTTCTCAGAGCCACAGTATAGGATAGGGTAGAACTTCCCTTGTGAATTTCTCTCTCTCTCTCTCTCACACACACACACACACACACACACACACACACACACAACACCTGGGTGCAATAGAGTCTATTCAGACTTATAGCGGCCCTATATAAACCAAAGAGCTCACTGCTGTCGACTCAATGCCAACTCATAGCAACCTTATAGGACAGAGTATAACTGGCCCTGTGAGTTTCTGAGACTAACTCTTTACAGGAATAGAAAGTCGTGTCTGTCTCCCTCAGAGTGACTGGTGGTTTCAAACTGTTGACCTTGCAGTTAGCAGCCCAACACGTAATTCATGTGTGGGTTTCTGAGACTGTAAATCTTTACAAGTTTAGAAAGCCTCATCTTTCTTATGCAGAACAGTGGCTGGTTTTGAACAGCTGACCTTGCAGTTAGCAATCCTACTTGTAGCCTACAACATCACCAGGGCTTCTCATAAAGGCATAGAAAGGAGGAAATTAGCAAAAAGGCAGACATTTGTGGGGTAAATATTTCATATATTCTTTCTGGAGAAATAGCCAGGAGTCCCAGTGGCTATTTAGGTATTGGAGTGCTAACCAAAGCTCAGAGATTTCAACCCATGGAAATCGATGCCTCTGCTCTTGTAAAGATGTACAGCCTAGCGAACCCAAAGACCCACTTCTCCTCTGGGGGTCTCTATGCACCACAATGTACCTGATACAGTGCTTTCCTATTTGGGGGGTTGAGAAGAACTAGAAATTACTATTTCAGCCATTTATTAAGCTAGTTACCATAAAATCCAAAGTTTTAAAGATCTTGCGTGCCAGACATTTTTACAGGGGTTAAACTAATAGGCACTCTGGTGGCCTAGTGGGTATGCACTGAGTGGCTAACTTCACGTGCTGCTCCTTGAGATAAAGCTGAGACTCTCTACTCTGGTAAAGTCTTCCCGGCTCAGAAACCCACAGGGGCAGTTCTACGCTGCCCTGTAGCGTTGGCATGAGTTGGGGTTGAGTTGATGGCAATGAGTTTGGTTTGGTCATACTTCTATCGTCTCATTGAATTCTCACCATCGCTCCATGACTCCAGGGCCAGGTTCTTAACCATGAGGCTGTGCTTTCTCTTACCCATGATTAATTTTTAAGATAACTATCTAGAAAATACATAAAAAGAAGTGCTTCATTTTTCAAGCCCTCACACAATTAGATGCTGTAATTCTGCATTTTAACTCATATGGGTTATCTTTTATCAATCTTGCTCTCTTAAATTCTGAGCAAAAAAATTGATTAAAAATGTTTTCTTATTCTTCTAACTCTCTAAAGGTCTTTTAAAAAAATTAGATATTTGATTTTAATTTGTCATTAAACTAACTCAGAAAACTGGATAATTGCTACAAAATTGTCATAGACAAAAGTAATTCAACTATTTTTCTTTAATAAGAACACTTTAATAAAAATTATTAACACATCATTAATTGTATAATTATTTATTTTAAGCAAACTGACCATTTTAGGTTCATTACAGCTCAAGTTGTTCCTTAAATTGTCCAAAATAACCCACATATAGACCCTGAATAATCGTCTATATCCATCTTCACAATACAATACGGGTTTGTATGGAAGTTCACATAAGCTCACATAAGTGTTTTTGCACAACTTTATCCATTTCCTCTAGCTGCTCCTCCAACTTATTCAGCTGATCTCTTGTGACCCAGAATCAAAAGTGTGTACCTGAGTCCCAGGTATCTCAGGGAGCCAGGCATGCTTCCCTCGTGTGAAGCTGAAGGCTCTTTTGAAGAGAACATTGGCAACTTTATGTCGTTTTCTTAGAATGCATTGGGTGTGTTCTTGCTTCCAGAGCGACCACTTACAAAAGAGCTCATACAAATGGAGCTAATTTAAATACACTGTGTATTGTTCATGGCACTAATAAAAATGGATACTGACATTCTCATCTTCTTATTATACTCGATGTCAGCTACTATCATTGCCATTAAAAAGGCAATTTATAGCCTCAGGCCCTCCTTGAATCATACTCCTTATTAGCATTTCCAGTCTTTCCTTCCACAGGATTCAGGTTACAGGTGCTGTTGAGAAGCTCTCTAAGTCTTTCTGAATCATGGCCAATGCAGTATCTGGGCTCTTTCTTTTTATTACTATTGTCCTTAATCAGAACCTCACACTACTGCATCTGTCAATATTGGTAATTGTGTTCTGCATTGGCAAAGTGTTGTACATGAGTCCAGCCCCTTAACTCTAATTAGAAAAATATATTCTACCCTCTGAAATGACTTTATGTGACTTCCTATAAAGACAAATGAATTCAAAGCTTTACATGTATCCGAGTCAAATCCCACCATCCTTGGGTAGCTTTATTGATACTTTCTAGTTGATTTAATTTTGATAATGAAAATTTTAAGACTTTTACTTTTATTAATTTTATATCATTTGCTCCTTTATTTTAGCCCCCAACGTTAGCATGTTCTCATAATGTGAAGAATGTAAAATATTTTATAAACCATATAATCAATAATTAATAGGGTTAATAATTTAATAAGCATATGAGAAAAGTTGTGCTTACAAATGACTTCCTCTTTTTTATGCTCTCTTATTTCAATACCAACAGTCTTTCTATCAGTTAAGCGTTTACTTTAATATTTAGCATTTTCCTTTCAAATTTTATTTTTGTTTTAGAGTAGTTTCCCTGATTACTTCTGATTTTTTGGAGCAATTTATTGTGTTATGATTTCTGGATTGATAGCAAAAGGGGGGAAAAGAGCAGACACTGGTTTTTAATAATAAATGCTGTACAATTCATCCAGATTAAAGGAAATAATCTCTATTCTTTTGTTTCATCTTGTTTATTTCAAATATAGGCATTAGTTCTATGTTTGGGTATCTACTATAGTGTTAGTCATGTGTCTTTCTAAATATTGTGGTCTAATTGATAACTTAGGATCCAGGAAATTGTCATCTTAGAATCCTTTCTTCTCTTTTCACTTTTTAAAATTACTTTTAAAAGAAAGCATAATTGGAAACAAAAAAAGCTGATGTTAACAATATGAAGGGAGAATGTCTTTATGCAGGGCATGTATAAAGTGTGATACTCTTTTCAGCCAATTGCTCACCTTCACAAGCACAGCTGCAAGAGACAGGCCAGATTCCATGTAAATATAAGATTTTGAGGCACAACACCTACCAAATTGTTATAGAGAGTATTTTATGCTTACTGTGCCGTAAGGAGCCCTGGTGTGACTGTGAGATATGTGTTGGAGTGCTAACCAGTAGCTCAGTGGGGTCAAACCCACTGATCCACCAAAGAGAGATGAGGCTGCCTGTTCCCATGAAGATGTATAGGCTTGGGAACCCTACATAGGGTGATTATGAGTTTCAATTGACTCTTTGGTGTTGTTCGTTTGTTTTTTGTACTGTACTTGGGAAGCTTGGTGGTGCAGTGGTTAAGCTGTTCGGTGGCTAATCAAAGGTCTCCAGTTCTAACCCATCATTAGTCTTTCCAAAGGAGAAGGTAATGACTTATGGGCACTGTACTTAACGAAAGTATGGAATCTTCATTCATCTATTAGGGAAGCTTTCAGTAAGAATTAAGGCAAAAGGAGTCTGCCTTTTAAGAGGAGAATGCAATCACCTATCAAAACCAGTTGCATTATTTCTAATTCATGGAAACTGAT